GCTTGATTTGGTCTATGATATTTCTAATTTTTCTAAAATTTAATTGATAAATAAAAAAGATATAATCACAGAAAGAACGTATTGTGAACATATCATGAGTATTTTTTGATTTTCTTAGGGGTTGAAAAATTCTTTACTTCCTTCCCTCATTCTTGGAATGGAATCTCTCCCTGCCATCTTTGCACCCCCCGGTTCACAAGAAAGGAGCAGCATTCCCTATTACAGATAAGATATCAATCGCGACGCATGTACATCCACCGGTACTAATTTTCGTGGTGGTCTGATAATTGAGCGAACGCCTGGACGCCGGAAATACGTAACAGCCGTTACTGTCACGGTAATGTCGATGCAGGATTACGAGTTGCTGGTCGCCCTTGCTCGTAATCAAGGGTCAATTTGCGACACCCACAAATCACGCCGGGATCACCGAAAGTATTCGCAGCGATGCGATTTTACAAAATATCTGATATTTTCCATAAAAAATGAAAAAAATATCACGACGATATATTTTAGAAACATTTCTTATCCACTGTGAAAAGAATGAAAAGTAAAAATCGCCTGTCATATAAACCTAAAAAGAGATGATAGAGGAGAAAAAAAATCACTCATGAATTTAAAATGTTTATAATTTCTAAAAATAAGCACGTGGAATGCTAGATGATAAATTTTGAAATAGGACATTAATAAAGCATTTAAAACGTTTATTCTCTTAAAATTTGCAAACGCGCTGATTATTTTTGAAAACAATTTATTAAATTTGCTTCTGCAGCTTTTAGTCCCGACTCTGAACCGAAGAACTCCTATGAGACTAGTTGGATATTAACTGAGGCACTCTAATTTATAGTTCGCTGTTGTAAACGAAATGTCACGCGTGTTTTCGTAATTAGTTACGTTATATAATGAAAATTCAGCATCATTATGAAAATTTATAATTATTTATTGTCCCTGTTCCATAATGAAACATGTTTTAATTACCAACGCGTTAACATGAAGGTCCATCGTCGGTTTTGTGCTTCCTGATTATCGCAACGAGACCATCTAACTTTCCGGCTAACTTTTCACAGAGATCAAACGGTTTATTGAACGGTGGCCATTTAATTATTTGTCTTATTTGCATCGTCATTAGCGTTATCGCGCTCCGTTAATTTTAACGTGTCATTTTAATTACACGCAATTAACAACTAATGCGAGTGTTACATCCCTACGTAATTCGGTCGAGTTGGAGCTACGATTCTCTCCCGTGTATTTTGCGATAAATCTCGATTAATCTAATCGAAGAGCCATCGCGCGGATCCTGGCACACGTGACCAATCCCGAGGAAGCGAATCGCCAGGATAGACCTTCTCGTTTAGTTAACCTAGTCGCTTCTTTGATTAGTTAACCCACTCCCGTCTTTGTTCGAGAAAGGGGATAGACAAGACGGCGGGAGATGCAGCTCCCTGGAGAGTTCTCTACAGTAGACACCCTCTCCTTTGCTCCCCTGCTCACCCCAGGATCTCCACTCGCACTCCATGGAACGAGATGAGAGTGGCCGCTCGGCCGGAAAATCGCTTTAAACCGCGCCGACTAATATTAACTTTCTCCTATCGTTTCGCGAAATTCCCGAACTCTTTTTTTCTCTCTCCATCGCGCGTCCCAGCCACCGGCAAAAGCTTTCCCTCCCCACGGGGGGTGGGGGGGGGGAGAACACCGTTCCGAAATTTCCTTATTTGCCTTATTTCGTACGGTCGGCCAATCCGGCTTTGTGTAAACTTCGTTTTATCCCGCAAACGGCGAATGTTTTTCTCCCACCATCTTGCCGCTCTTCCGCGATCGATACGTACGCGAAAATTTCGCAACCGGGTAGATGAATCGGCGATACACGAGTCAACGACGAAGTGTCATCGAGGTAATCACGGATATTTCAAGGTCGTATATAATTAACCACTTGGCGCATACCACCGTGTGATCGATCGGGGAACTTTCGGATCCGGGAGGCGTATCGCGGACGATGACTATTAAAGTTGGGTGATTTATAACGGCACAAAAGAGAGGAGCGGAAGATGGAGGAGAATAGAGTCGTGGCGAGCCGCTATTTCAAACGGCCAACTTTATGTAAACGATTTTACGGTGCAACAAACTGTCACGTCTTTCTCCGTCCCTCTCTCTCTCTCTCTCTTAATATGAGTATGAAACGGTAATGCTCTTTTCCGCTCGTATAACCAGTTACATTCCACGATGAGTATAATTCACGCGAGGCGGCTAACCACCCGCTAAAACGCCACATCACGTATCCGGTACATGCAAGTGTGAAAAACCGGAAGCGAGACGAAGCTCTTTGCTTCCAGAATTTCGCATCCGGGAACGTAACTTTACACTACAATTTTTCGATTAGTAATCCGACAGTGTGCTCGGAACTTTAGCTTCACATGGAAACCTTATCTACGTACCTGATGTGATATATATGTATGCAGAGTGTTTCTTAATAAGCGAAAATTTAATTATTAATATATTAAATATATTAATATATTAATTACTAATATATTAATTATATTAAATTTTTAATATGTGAAAAATTTTAAGAGATGATTTTTTGTTGAAAATTAAGCGGGGTTTTTCATATAAACATGTATTCCTGCATCCTTCCCTGTGGAGTTATCTTGCTCCAATTTTGAGAAAAAAATAAAAACCTAATTTTTTCTCAAATTTGAAAGTTAATGAAATGAAGTTAGGTGGATATTTTCTACTAGTAAAAAGGTTATTTATTAGTATTTTTTTCAACCTCTCATATTATTATAAGGAGATAAAACTAGCAACCCCTATTCAATTTTTTATTTAAACTTTTTAATAATTTAGATGATTAATATGATCATCTAAAAATAAAAAGTTTGATTTATTTAGAAACTTTGTTATTTTTTTCATTTTTTTCATAAAATCAGTAGTTTTAATAAAAATAATTTCTGATTAAGAAACACCCTGTATATTTTCTATTTTGTACTTGCAAATGTTTACTGTCATCGTACATTTTTTGTCAGCGAACATTTTATGTATTAAATAAATTAAAAAGTGCAATCTTTTTTTTAAAATAAATAAATATGATAAAACCAGTGCGAATTATACCCTAGTTTAATAATTAAATTGATATTTAAGCAAACTTTCAATTTGAAAAAGAAAGTTTTATGCATTCCTTAGTATATTATCAAGTAAATTTTTATTAGACTACAGTAATTTACTCTTTAAGAGCTTTCAGATCATTAGCAGAAGCTTGCATTATTCAAGCTTCCGTTCAAGTTATTATACGTGCATCGGTTTGCTTCGAATTAAAATCAAAGTCGGATATTCAAATTTAATCGCTAAGAAAATAACATGGCCGTGTTTGCGAGAATAATCAAGAGAAAGAATGTGAATTAAAATCGGACGTAATGTGTGTTTTCGCGGAGAGGAGGGAAAACAGCGAACGGGAGATGAAAAATATTGACTCGAGTATCAGATTTTAATCAACCGCGAGGAATGAAAATATTGGGCGAGGCGACGTCGCATATACGATCCTCGGAGCAGAAAATTAGAAGAAAGTTGGCGAAGCGAGCGGATGATGAATCCGGCTCCAGACGAGTTCGCGTGACGCGATCGAGGGACGCGACAAAGTCCCATGGGAAGGACCTCAAACACGCATAATCCGCACGAAATTACTGCGTGGCGGCGAAAAGCTCCGCGTAAGTTTCGAAAGCGGACGAGCCCGTGCGCGTTCAAATATGTACTCTAGACTAGCCAAACACACCGGTAGTCTTTTACGTGAGCAGCGCGCACATAGCTGTATGTGCTAAAATATCCATGGCGACATACATACGTCGCATACAGTTCGCGCTGCGCAAAATGCAGCGTTAATCCCGCCGTTCGGCGGGAGAGTGCGAGCTCTCTGCGAAAAATTCCGTCAAAAAGCGCACGGACTAAATGCATGTACGTACAAAATACGTACGTGTGGTATACAGGTCGTTCTGCAGGTCTCTCATATTTTCTCTGGATTCCATTTGATTTTCTCTGGATTTCATTTGATTTTAGAGATAAATAGCTGCACATTACGAGGAGCTTCTCCTCGATGTGCGTCTTTGATAGAAACTTATTTTTCATATTTAATTGTCAAAATATTGAAAATTGAAAAATCCAGAGCGATGCATCTCCATAAAATTTTCAGCACTAATGGCAAATTGACTTCGAATTTGTCAGTCTGCAGCTGATACGATATCCAATAACGACATCATATCCTGTATATGAAATAAATCATATTCATAGCGAACATGTCTATAAAATATTCGACCGAATATTTTTCCATTCTCGATACGATAACTTCTAACTCACTTTGTGGCCCACTCGCGGCCATACAGCCGCAATAAAATCATCCTCTACTTCGCTTTTTGCACAGATAAAATGCTTAATATTTTAATCGCTCGTTTAACGAGTGTGATGCCCGTGAGAATATTTCGCGCTTTGCAACGTGTCCAATCAAAAATAGTCGATTGAGTTTTAGGTTGCAAAATATTCGACTGAATGAATCGGCTTGGGAAATAGTTTTATTCGATTTATCCTTTTATAACATTACGAGTAAACACATGTAAATCTTTAGGTATTAAAATCTCGAGTATTTATAATGTCAATATTATTTTAGAAATTTAAGATTTTATTTACATTTATAATTACATTTTATAAAATTACTTGTGCGTATATATTTTGAATATGAAATTTTAATATTTAAAAAAATGTAGCATTAGTATTGAAAAATTAGCAAACATGAAATATTGTGTGTGCCGCGAATATTATAATATTATTTATATCTAGAAAGAGAAGCTTTCCGTGAGAGAGAGAAATCACTTGCATTACTAGGCGGCCACGAGATAAATCTGAACTAATAAAGTGCACGGAAGTCTTTGAACTGTTAACGTATTAATAACGGCATGTTGTTTTTCTTCAGGCACGCATGTTTAATACGCTGCACATACCGCATAAACTTCCTTTTCACATTACAGTATAATGAACAACAACAGCGTGGAGCAGCCGGATCCGGACAACATAAAGATGTTTGTGGGGCAAGTACCTCACGACATGGATGAGAATGACCTGAGGACGATGTTTGAAGAATATGGCCGAGTGCATCAGATAAATATTCTGCGGGACAAAATCACCGGCAGTCATAGAGGTAAGTGAAACTGAACAATTTTATACTTTTGATATAAAAAAATAATATATTTACAATGTCAAAAAAAAAAACGATAAATGTCAAAACATAACTGTCGATCGAAATTAACTCCAAATGCGTTCGGTCTCTGTGATATCAGATAAAGATTGTTCGAAAAATCAAATATAATTTTATTCTTCATGTCTGCATAAACGGACATTTGATACATTATTATCTTTAATTCCTGCTAATTGCAATACGATACGATAATTATGATAAAATATCACAAAATATGTCATAAAGAGCTCGTATAGCGTAAAACGTAGATAGGTTGTAATATATAACACTACTCAATTAATCGGGGAATACCGTCTGATTTTTAAAAACGATTTTTGAGGTTAAATTATGCCAATAAGTCCATTGATTGAATTAATTCGCCCAAAATCATATTTCCAACTATTACGATTAAACCGATTCATCAATGTTTTCGAGTTAATTGAATTTTCAATATACTTGACGTTGCGGCGTTTTGCTATTATTGATGCAGGATCGTAGCAGAATGTGCTGAAATTAATTATTATTCTGCATATTTTGCAAAATGTTGATCTACTTGAAAATTAAGTAAAGTAATAATAATAGAATAATTCTGTATGATTTAAATCACTATTCACATATGCAGTCTTTGCAGTATATTACTTATTAAATTTTCTACGTGAAAGACCAAATATATACAATATAATAATTTGATAAATAAATTAGATAATTAAATCAAATAAGTAAATCAAATAAAAAATATACGAAAAAACAGAGACGCTTTTAAATATATTGGATACTTTAGATCGTGAAATAAATAATTTTGGAGACTTCAATTATAATATAATTAAGAAAAATATAATTAAGAGAAATATTAAAAAGAGAGAGTAATCATTTTGCGACAAAATTATTCAAAGAATTTAATATAATGATAATTGAACAGCTAAAATTTAATTTAAACTGGTTTGTTATCTGGGTCGAAAATAAAGGAAATAAAAAAACAGATAGAATAAAAAATAAAGAACACATATATAAGTTAATATTAAGGTGGTCATTGCTGTTACGGGTCTTCTTATTGTTGGAACATAAATCGATCGTCAGAGGAGAAACGGGGAGATGGGGAACGAGAAAGCAATCCTCGCGAGACCTCACGTCCAAATGCAAGCGCACTTGTAACACGGCTGTCACTAAAATATGCACGTGCTCACCAGTAACGAGCTTTAACGCTCGCTAAATGTCATCCGCATCGGCGAAACTTTGCACAATTACTTTCACTGTACAGATGACTTCAAGTTTGTGGCCGGTGTACAAGTCAGGCGTCGGGTGATTATATGATTGTCCAATATATATATATACATATATATATATATATATATATATATATATATATATATCTCGATTTCTACGCGTACAAAATGGTCGAAACTCACCATGAAGATTGCCAAGCGTAATTACATTTATATCTATCACTATAAAATGTATTCCAAAATAGTGAGAGAAGAGAAATATTCCATTATTAAATATTGCATCATAATAGCAATGACAATAAAACTAGATTAAGATTATAATAATACATTTTATGATAATACATGTGATTTTAATTTTATTTCTTAAAAATCTACTTTATTTCTCTCTCTATTTAAATATAAAATTATATCTGTAGGTATATATTTCTGAGGTTTTTATTATAGAAAATATTTTTCGGAAACTTTTAGTACAAAAAAAAAAGATGTTCATTGCGAAAATCGACGAATGCCACATATATTTAATTTTGCGATTCTCAGTGATTTAACTAGATTTTCTTGACACAGGCTTCAGAAATCTCCAGTAGATAAGTAGATCTGTATGTAAAATGTACGCGATGCACTATCCGGAGTCGGAAGGCGCGAAACGTTGGGATTCTGAGAACTTCCGGAATAATTAATATGGGCGAATTGTAAACGTCATGCGCACCTGCAAAATTGATGGCGGCAGGCAGTACAACTGGGATGAAATTCGTTCCCCATTGTGAAAATTTAACTTGATTACCATGACGTAATGGTGAATTAATGTCCCGCTCGCGGGCCGTTTGTTTAATGCACCGCATTTTAGATTCGAAATCTCTGTCAACGTGGAGTTTCAATTACACGATAAAATAGGCTAATTATCGCTTTCCAATAAACTTCTAGCTGACAATCGTTGTGTTAAGTAGACTTCTCGTATTTTTTTCTCGTTAAATATTAGTTTCATCTATGATTTTTTTAAAAGGGACGGCCAATTATATCTAATTTCCGTAAGCAGTTTACCAGTTTACTAAATAACGTCAGACATTCTGCAGAATCTCATCTCAAAGCGGCGCGCACTATCGGCTTAAAAAAAATTATATTACTATTACTTAAATAAAAAGCGCACGCCGGAATAATACGCTCGGCATAGCGAGCTTGCTCGTCTGATGCTGACTAAACAGCGAAACAGAAGGTAAATTCCACAATACATCGAGGCGCTTTATCTCACCGGTGGAAATAAAACGCGCTGAAATTTCCAGAAATTTTATATTAATTAAGCCGAGCTTGGAATAAGCTCTACTAAAAATTAACAAAGAGTACCTATGGCGTATGTTTGATTTACACGAGAATAAATTTAAACTTTAAATTATTCACAGAGATACCCGCGTAATGCCACGTCATGAAAAAAATTCCTCCGACCATTCCATCGGTGATTACGATGCTATAATACATTTAATTTTAGACACTTCTTACACAAAATCGGATTTAATATAATTTTGTTTGACCAGAAAATATTTTTTATCAAAGTAAAATATTATAATTAAAGATATTATTTTCTTTTCGATTAATCTCTTCGTTATATATAAGTACAATGATCGACAATTGAAACGATTTTAATCGTGCAATTGGAGGATATTTATTTTGTTTTTATCGCGTAATGTAATTGAGAAAGGATTCTCTCTTGGAAAATTTACTAAATATAGTTTACAACTCTATAGCCATTAAACAAAACTGTGCTTTAAAAATGCCAGTGAAAGTTCTTTCCAAGTACTTTTTCTCGACTTGCTTTTACTTACTTCATAGCTACTTTATTCACAGCGATTTATCGAGTGGAATAAAAGCAGGTTCTTTTGCAGTTAATTCTTTCTAATTATTTTTTGACAATAAATTAAATTATCAAATATATTTGTTACTTATATATTTACTCGTCCTAATATAATAATTTTAGTTTTTCTAATTTTAATTCTTAGAATCGTTCTCTAAATTTGTATCGAATTTGCATCCATATACGAAATAACTTTGAGGATTAATGTAATTAATTCAAATATTATATTAATACAATATTATACAATATTATATTATACTATATTATATAAAATTAATTATTATATTATATTAATACAATATTATACAATATTATATTATATTATATTATATAAAATTAATTATTATATTATATTAATACAATATTATACAATATTGTATTAATACAATATCATAAATTCAAGCATCATACATCCAGTCATATGTTTATTCTGGGAGCACAAGGAAGAGATTAAATGATAAAGTCATCCACATTTAAATTAATATCAACTAAAAACTCATGGAATGTTCAATTTGATAGGTCAATAAGAGACAGCAAACTCGTAGCAAACTCCTTTCATGCCCGATTAAAACAAGTGCGGAACCATGTTCGCAATGAAGACCTTCGAGATTGCCATCGTAGCCAATATATTGGAATCCCGAAAGTGTCCGACTGAGCCGCTTCTTGTCGCAAAGTAGTGGAATTCGATACTTCGTTACTTTGTGAGACGCAATACGGGAACGAGAAGGAGGACAACGACGACAGCGGAGGTTTCTCTGCAAACAGAGAGGCGATGCTGCTGTCGTAGAATTTTCCCCGTGAAATTCCGTTACCTTTCGCCAGGCGAAAAGACGTCGGGAAATGTTTTAGTTAAATTAACAGGACTCTCTTCTTGCGCGATGTTTCCCTCCGTCGATTGCGAATTTCTCTTCGACGGAGCTTCCCGCTGTCTCGCCTGCGAAGACATACGGTATCCTTGCGAGACGCGCGTGTCTCTCGCATTTTCGTTCTAAAATCTTTTCGCACGCCGGGATGCTTTGCATGCGAGTCACTCGGGAATTATGTGTTTTATGCTCTAAACAAGAGAGTCAAAGCCTCTTCTCCTGCTGCTCGTTATAATCAGGAGTACGCTCCGCAATTAATCACGCAATTAATCGTCCTTAAGTTGTGCCATGTTTGCCTCGCCTTGCTCTTTCACGTTGAAGAACTTGGATATAGAGATCGGCTCTATATGTCAGTCATACTTAGTGCCTGAAAACTCGCGAAAGATCGATATCCTTCTTAAACAACTATTTTCTTATTATATTGTAATATTTGATAGACTAACTAGGTGTTTCTAATTTAAGAATGTACATAATTTATGCTAAACTGGAAGAAAAAAATAATTATAAAATAGTTATATTGAAAATATATATAGATTATCTTTTTATTTATCGAATTCATATTTATTTTCTTGATAATGACATATTCAGAGCAGATAAGAATAATAGATAATTCAAATACTTTAAGTCCAATCTCAAAGATCAATAAGTTTCTTTTAATTCTGTTTAATTTATTTTGGCAGGAAACATAAATTAAAAGCAACTCCTTTTAAGCAATATCGTGATAGTCCTTTATTTTCCACCCAACGATTATTTCCTCGTGTCTCTTTGTCTTTCGACCTCCTGGCTCTCCCAAAGGCTACCAAAATCGTGAAGAACGCCAAAGACGTCGTAGACCGTGCACTTCAGGATTACAGGAGAAACTTTAAACGAAACTCTGGCGCAGAAGTATCGCAAAGCTGCTTCCTAGCGAGCTTGTGTTCCAACATGTGCAAGTCGGATTCAAGGTAGTTCTTGGTTCTTTTCGTAGAGAGTAGTGGACTTTTCGAAGACAGATAAATTTTTGAAGTCCCATAACGACACTGACCCTGTCAAGCT